CAGAATGCACTTCCACACTCTCTTCCTATTCTTACCCTACTCTTTGTTTCTCTCAGTACCTCTTTAACCCTGTCTATTAAACCCTGCCTCACTCCCCTCTCAGTCATCGCCCTGATTAGTACTTCCTTATCCACTGAGTCGAAGGCCGCCTTCAAATCTATGAAAAATACTGTCATCTTTCCTTTCTCCTTACCCAATTGTCTATTTACCAGATAATTCAGCGCGAATATCTGGTCCATTGTCCCCATCCCTTTTCTGAATCCTGCCTGATTCTCTGGAATCAAATTCTTTGTCTCGACCTCCTTCCTTAACCTTTCTGCAAGTATCGCTGTGTATATCTTGTACATTGATGACATTATTGTTATTCCTCTATAATCCTTCACCCCTCTTCCTTCTCCTTTTTTAATTATTGGGACTATTTCTCCTTCCTTCCATTGTTCCGGCCAGCCTTCCCCTCTCCAAACTTTTTTACAGATTTCCCATATCCATTTCTCCATTTCTTCTCCTCCAAATTTCCACGCCTCGTTCGGTATCCCGTCATTTCCTATTGCCTTTCCTGTTTTTAACTTCTTTATTACATTTCTTACCTCCTCCAACTCTATCTCCTCTTCTTTTTGTCTGTTCCCTCCCCCTTCTCCCTTCACTACCCTATTCTCCATCCCACCCATTAGTTCCATGAAGTACTCCTTCCATTCTTCCATCTTTATCTCTTCATTTATCCTCTTCCTTCTTTTTCTTACTCTGCCTATCAATTCCCATACCTTTCCTTCCGTTTTCGCTTCCCCTATTTCTCTTATCATCCTTTCCTTCTCCTCTTTTTTCTTTCTTTTACACATTTCTCTGTACTCCTTTCTCTCCTCTCTGTATCTTTCCACTTCTCCTCTTCCTTTCCTCCATTTTCTCAGCTCCTTCCTCACCTCTCTTTTCTTCTCCTTACATTCTTCGTCCCACCATCCTCTTCCATTCTTATCCCTTCTCCCTCCCTCATTTTCGTTCTCTTCTATTATTTTTCTTATCCTTGCGCTTCCTACTTCTATCTCCTCTTGTATTTCTCTTTCTTCTCCCTTTATCGTTCCTAATCTCTCTTTAAATTGCGTTCTTCCCCCTTCGCTCCATATTCCTCTTCTTCTAGCTCTTTCTTCTACTCTTTTTCTCTGATCTTTCTCAAGTTTACCCCTCATCCATATTGTTACTGGGTGATGATCTGAATCCACTCTTTCTCCTACCTCCAATCTTTCTACCCTTTCTCTAACCTCCTCCTCCCCTATCACGTAGTCTATAACTGTCTCGCCTCTCCCTCCTGTGTACGTAAATTCACCCTCCTCATCCCCTTTCACGCCTCCATTTAGTATCATCCAACCTCTTTCCTCTATGAATTCCAATAGCTTTCTTCCGTCCCCATTTATTTTCTTGTCTTTTGATCTTCTCCCTCCACCTTCCACTCTTTCCTCGTCCTCCTCTTCTCAACCTCCTTCCTCCCCCGTTCTCGCATTGAAATCCCCACCTATTATAGTCCTTACTCCCTTTTCTCCCTCCTCCGTCTTATCCTTCAGGCCTTCCAGTTTCCTGTCTATATCATTATTTACATAAAGCCCTATTATTCTCCATATTTCTTCTCCTATCCTTATCTTACATTCGATCTTACCTTCATCTTCCTCCAGCTTTCTTTCTTCCTTTATCTCTTCTATTCTCTTCCGTATTCCTAACAGCATACCCCCACTCGCTCTTCCTTTCTTGTTCCTCCTGGTCGCTATCTGTACTCTCCATTTGTATTCTCTTGGGATCTTTTCTTTCATCTTTTCCCACCCCCTCTCATCTAACCATGTCTCCATCATTATCACTATATCCCATTCTTTTATCGCTTCCCAGAATTCCTTATCCTTGTTTGCTATGCCCGCCACATTCCAGAACGCCACCTTCCACATTTCCTCCTCCCTCCTGATTTTCCTTTTTTCTCTCTCTCCATTTTCGGTATCCTCCTCTCCATCTCCTCCTCCTAAGTTCTCTTCCTCATTCTCCTTTTCCCCTTCTTTGTCCCTCTCATCTTCCTCTTCCATATTACCTCCATCTTCCTCCTCTCTTAGTTTTCCCCTTTTTCCTTCCACACATTTCCTTCGTTATCTCTTAATATCTCTTCATCCTCTTCCCATTTCCACCATTTTCCATCTACTTGCATCTTTCCATATCCTACCTTTACTCTCTTGCCATTTCCTCTCTCCTGCCTTGCAATGTCTTCTATATTCCATCTCATCTTTCTCTCCTTCCATGTCAGATCATCATCTATTCCTATCCCTTTCTCTTTTAGTCTTCTTCTCTCCATCATGACCTTTCTTTTTTGTTCCAGTCCCTGCAGGCTTATTATTGCCATCTTTATACCTCCCTCTCTGTTGTCCTCTATGACCTTTTTGCAACTCACTTCCGTTTCTATTCCAATCCCCATTAAAATTTCTTTCACCTCCCTTTCTATATCGTTCCTCTTTCCTTTCGTTCCTCTTATAACTATGTTTCTTCTTCTTTCTTCTCTCTCTCTCATCTCTAATTTCTTATCTATTTCTTTTAGTCTTCTCTCCAATCCCTTCTCTCCTGCGTCTTCTGTTTTTCTTATTCCCTTCTCTTTCATTTCCGTTATCGTCTTCTCCATTTCGATTATTCTCCTCTCCATCTTCTCTCTCTCTTTCATCCATTTTTCCTCTCTCTCTTCCATGATTCTTTTTAAGTCTTCCATCTCTTGCCTTATCTCTCTCTTTTGTTCCCTCATTACCTCCAGCATCTCCTTTATGCCTTCTCTCATCTCGGATTTTATTTCCTTTTTTATCTCCTCTATCCAGCTTCTTTCATCTCCTGTAATTTCCTTATCATCTATTTTCTTCGGTGATCTCTGCACTTTCTTACTCCTGTTAAAAGCCCATTTTTCTGATTCCCTGCTTTCAGTTTCCTCTCTCTTTCTCTTTGAATCTATACTACCTGTACTTCCTCTTCTCTCCCCTCTTCCCTTCTCCTGATCTTCCCCAATTAACTCTATCAATCTTGCTACTTTTCCTTCATCCTCCGCCATTTTCCTTCTGCTATACCTATCTACCCTGCTCTCCTATTCCTCTATGAGTTTCCCCTCTATGTTCGAACTTGCCTATGCCCCCACGCGTGTCGCCGCGACAGCGCGACTTCGTGACGTCCCCGTCTATACACTCTACCCCTCTCCTCTGTTTTATTCTATGCCTGCCTATCTGTCCGTTGTTCTATCGTCACTTTTCCTTCCCCGTATCTAACCCTATCCTTTCCCTTTGACCTGCGCCCACCCCCACACTCTCTCTCACTCCTCTGCTTCTCTCTCTCACCCACTCACTGCCCTCTCACACACCCTCTCACACTCCTCTTTCTCCGATTTTCTTCCAGTCACTCACACACGTGTCACTCACGAAAGCGCCGGAAACGGAAGTCAGATTGGTAATTTATATTGTAAATCTGAATTAACCAATGCTTTTTAGTTTCAGTACGTAATGCACGACCAGTGTGCAACAAATGTTACATTTTGCTGGTTGAGAAACGAGATATAAAGGCATTGACTTGTGGCCACATTTATTGTAAAAAAATTGTCAGGACCAACTGCCTTTGCAAATAGATGGTCCCATCCCATGTTCTGCTGTGTGGCTGTGTGCAATGTAATAAATGGTCAACAATTTTTTTTGTGTGTAAGTTTTAAGAAAAAAAAAATTCTTTTTACCTATATTTTTGCAATGTATATAATAAAATGTAATTAGCTAATGTTTCTTGTAAATTATCTTGAAAATCTTGTTGTAAAATGTAAACAGCATGTGTTTAAAAAAATGTTGAAGCTACACTTATGTTCTGGATTGCTCAAGTTTTTTTATTTCATTATCTTTCAAGATTATGTATATTTATGTTAAACATAATCTATTTGAATTATGAATTTATTTATTTTAATAAAGATGAAATATGTTTACAGATTAAGCACATAGAGGCAGCAAATGACAGACAGAAGAAAAAATGCCATTACGGATATTTTTCATTTTTTGTTTACATGTAATCATAGATATAAGGTTTGTTCGCGTCGCATTATCTCTCTCTCATTAAAACTTTTCAATAAAACTGCTTAATAAAAGTTTTTCATAAAACCTGCTTTTTTACTCTACCAGAGAATCTGAAGAATTGGTATCAAACTTTACTATAAGTTTCTAGGAAATAAGTAACACATTTTGTACATACCGTCCACAGTCGTTTACTGTAATTGAGAGGACAAAAAGGTTTGGAAGAGATAATTGGTAAAATTAATGGTTCAATTTTCGTCTCATAAGATTCTCTCTTTAAAAGTTAAATTTTGTATAGTCTCACTTGCTACGATGTATTTCTTTCTGACCGTATCGTTTCTAGTTTTCTAAACAAATAAAAAGTAAACAATAACAGCTATATAATCTTGAAAAATACAAGTTACCAAATAATAAAGAAGTCTTTCAGAAAAACTCTTTTGAAGAGATATATACAAGAGATTATAATTCAATTTGCATACTATTTACCATTAATTCTTATATGTATGCATGATCTGTGAACTGTTCACCAATCATATATTTGCATGAGATCTATTTGGAAGAATTAGTCTAAGACTGTTATTTGATTTTTTGTAACTTTTATCTTTCAAGATTATGTTGCTGTGTGTGTGTAAGGAATAAAATTATATTGAAGGAATAAACACCTTATTTGTAAGCATCATTGTTTATGCTATGAATAATGTACACAAGGCTCTTAACTGCTAAATAAAAGAAAAAAGTACATAATTACAAAAATATAAACAATGTTTTGTTATACAGATAGTATTAGCATTTTAAACTAAAATATTACATTTGCCTGAGTGAAAAAAAACTTGTACAGATAATAGTACACACACACACACACACACACACACACACACACACACACACACACATATATATATATATGTATATATATATATATATATGTATAAGCAACAGGTGTTGTATGTACAAGATAAGCTTACCAGAAAAATTAAATACAAAGCAATAATACTGGGAACGACAGAAGCAAAGACGACAAAAGCAAATTAAACGACATAAGCAAAATAAACGACATAAGCAAAATATTACATTAATTTTTTATATCCTCCTTTACATTTACATATCGGACAATCTATTTTTATTGATTGTTCTGTGTTATTGTTCAACAATTGAAATAAACAGTTACAACATAATATATGTCCGCAAGTTACAGCACCAAAAGTCTCCAGAACGATCTCATCCCGACATATCAGACACTCTAAAGGCTTATCTAATTTAATGTGCCGACGTTTACATTTTGTTCGTGTACAAATGTTTTTTTTAAAGTCACCACATATATCGGTGTTCTGTAAGGTTCGGCCGACTTCTCTTTTTAGATTTTCGGTTGCTTTGCCAGTCATCATGTAACGATACTGTTCCACACTAGGGCAGTGTAAAAATGGGCAGTCCTTGACGCTACACGAATCATTTTAATATTTGTAGCAATATCTATATGTATGAACCGAACCGCAATCTAAATTGCTGCAGCAACCTCTTTCAAAATTTTTGCATTTTTCAGCAAATTGTTCCCTGAAACATTTTTAGTACACGAGTTTAGTACGAGATTATGAAACCGAATAGAATCGTATAAGCACAAAAAGTATTTTGAAAAATCTTACCGTGAGCCGTAAAAAGACATTTTCACGATAATAGCCACTTAAATGGGGAATATTTCAGCGCAGCCTGCGTGAAAAAAAAATGTGTACAGATTATAGTACACACATTCTTACATATATAAGCAACAGGTGTTTGTTAAGCTTACCAAAAAAATTAATTACAAGCAGTATTAATTAAATACAAGGCAATATAACTGAGAACGACAGAAGCAAAGACGACAAAAGCAAATTAAACGAAATAAGCAATATACACCACAAGCGAGGTTAAGGGTCGACGGTCGACAAGAGACTCCATGTGGCAAACCATGAACTACGAATCGTAAAATCCATATGGCTGAGTTTCCACTGAGCGCGTCACGCGTCGCGTCATTACGAGTTAACCAATCAAAGCATCCTATTTTATTACATTATTTGTAACGAGATCAAAATGGGATGCGACGCGTGACGCGTTTAGTGGAAATTCAGCCTATTGCGGCCAAAATAATGAGAAAATCGCACTTTAACTGCGATATTCGTAATCAGCAGCAGCGCGTTCAAACTGCTACAGAGCGATTTTTTGGAAAAATGGTCAAAATAAATTTTTGAGTTTTTATTTCGATCGTTTTTCTTTGCCTTGCATTAGTGCTGGTCTACAACGTTATGTTAAAGAGATTTAAGCTCTAAGCCGTAAAAAATTGGCCAATCACAGTCGAGTATTCTCCTCACATTCCACTGTGATTGGTCAATTTCTTACGGGTTAGAGCTTAAATGTCCTTTAATTCCGGTCTACAATAGGTGTTTTAAGCCCTAAGTCTTAAGAAATTGTTCAATCATAGTTCAATTTGAGGAGAATAGTTGACTGTGAATAGTCAATTTCTTAGGGCTTAGGGCTTAAAACACCTATTGTAGATGGGCACTTAAAGCAAGGTTGTAGACCAGCACTTACGTCTACACCTACGATAGATGTAAGCGCCTACGTTTCGTTCTCTGCCATCACCTTAATA